TAAAAGTATACTAGTTCTTTTTTTGTCTGGAGATTTTATCAAATTATCCCTTCTTCTTTGTCAAGCGTGATTAAAGGTAAGTAAATGAGGGTTTCGGAGGCGTTGTTGAAAACCCTCCAGATTGAATTTGTTGTTGCCTTTTTTTTTTTCTTTTTTTGTACTTCCCTTTCTTCTACTTTTGTCCCCGTAATGATGCGATATAAAGAGTTAAGTACTGCCATTGTAGGTGAATATAATGAAGTACGGTTAATAGAGATTGCCGTTTAAAAAAAGAAGAATAAGTCTCGCGATGGAGCTTAAAGTATGCAATTCCATTCCGGAAACAAGGAATAATAAATGCTTGTATTTGCTTGAAATAGTTTTAAAGGTATAAAATCGTGATAATTATAATTTAATTTAAGCATGAGCATGAATTTGATTTTCGTTAAAAAAAGGAAGTACTATAAAAATAGGTTTACGTATTTTATTTAATTTATCTAATATGTGTCTTGACTATCGCTTATATCTTCAATATGAATGATAATATATTATAACAAGTGGTGATTAAATTACTTTTCATGAATACAATTTTTTTTTTTTTTATATATATTATGAAAAGATTAAATTGATAACCATTCCCGATCAGAATTATTTTTCAAATAACTAACGCCCGTCATGTTTGACCAAGACCATCCACCTACTGGCAGATTCCAAAACAGGAGATCATTTCTTTTTACAAGGTAGGGTTGTCCGCCCTATGCTTTACAGTCATATTAGACCGTGTCCTATGGTTTAATATGGATTCCGGACCTCTACAAACCCCCATGGCATCGTGGGGACTCGGAACTCTGTGGCACCGAGGGCCAGAGCGCCAGTCATTCGGCCATCAGGCCCTATTTTTCAAATACTAAAATAAAATTATGCTTTATAAATATACAATCGCATTCAATAACTAGGATAATTAAATTATTAACCAAAATTTATATTATTAGCTCCATTTACTATAAGTTTAACTTTTTAAGAGGTAGAAGGAAGTACAGCGCAACTTGCGTCCAGTTTACTTTATAGTCTCTCCAGTCTTACTTTATAGTCTCGTCCAGTTTACTTTATATATACTCAGTTTACTTTATAGTCTATCCATAGAGGAAATATATTTGGTGCATCCTAGCGCATTAGTTGGCCTACAGACTCTCACGCGGAGAGGAAGATTATTTCGCACACATTGCGCATTAGCTGAGTTTCGGGTTTACAGCTTAGAAGTGGAGTCCTTCCATGAATCTATGTCTTTAAATGTGTTAAATACTATATATCTCTAATTGTATGTGCGTCATGTTTGTTTAAATAAAGCTGTAAGTTCTCCAAACTGCTCCTCAAGTATCTCGACCCGACCACAAACAATTACGACTTACAATTGGTTGCCTAATCTGCCCACTACACAATAAATTTTTGTCAAGATAAGAAAAAAAAGAGAATGAATTTTGCAATATACTTCAATCATAATCTTGCCGTCAATGTCCATTCGATTTATATGACATTAAACGATAAATGAACTAATTTGCAGTCGACAGCAACAGATTAATAATTTATATCGAAACTTCAAATGATACTTTATAAAAAAAAATATATGAGGAAAAAAATATCGCATTTGAAGGTAGTAAATTTTCTGAGTCGAAATTTACTTCAAATCTTTTTGTTTTATCGGAATGGTAATTATTTTCGCGTTTTGGAATCATCTCATTTCCATAAAGGATATATTTTTTTCATCCATCCTCAGTTCTCCAAATTCATTGGATAATTTCTTTCGAATGCACTGGACTGATGTAAAAATTCTCTCGCTGGCCAGATGGCGCCAGAATATCATAAAAGAACCTCCACTTTTCTTTTTTTTTCTTCTTCTTTGTTCTTTTCTTTTTAAACACCTTCTTCTCTCTTTCTCTCTGCAAGAGGTGAGAAAACTTCTTGCCGAAGAATGCTAAAGACAAAGGTTTCCAAAGATGTCAGCGCAAAATCTCTCTTCTCGTCTATTAGAGTTCTTTCCATCCCCCATCCCCACCCCGCGCAGCCACCTTGTTGGTTTTCTTTCTATCTTTCTTTTATTCTTTTTTCTTGAAGCAGGTGAGATATCTACATTTTTTATACCTGAATGAGATAATTTTTTTTCTCTTTATCTTTCCTTTACGAAAGTTAATGAGGGGGAAGACCGAATTAATCGCTCTGAACTTGAGAACATTTTTTTTTTTTTTACCTTCTACTGTCACAGCTGTATATTTTGAAGAAAAGAAAAGGTATTAGAGGAGATTTGTTTCCTGCAAGAACTGTAGTAAGTCGTTTTGATGTAGAAAATGGGACATTTTTTTTTATTTGAGTACGTAAATAATGTTTTTTCGATAAATAAATGCCAGAAAGATTAGAATGTATAATTTGTATAATGAATATTTAAATTATAATAAAATTGGAATCAAATAATAATTTTTTTTTATTGAATTGCTTGAGAAATCAACATTTCATCCTTAATTTGGTAGTATCTTAATAATGATAAATCCTTTTTAAAGTCTCTTATAGTAGAGCAACTTCTTGGAATTTTCGTAAAGTGGTGCAAGAATTATTTACGTTAAACATGAAGTTAGTATATTAATAAAGAATAAAATGCTTCCGAAAACTCCACTAAACAAATGAAAAAGTAGCTGGCTTCTGTTTAATTTAATTAAAGAAAAAGTAATTTATTTTTATTGAACCCATGGTATGTTTCAACTTTATGTTGTTATGTTCATGGTATGTAATCCATAAAAAGGCAACACTTGTATCGACAAGAGCTAAATTGCATCAAAAAATTACTTTTTTTTTCACATTTCTAATTCGTTAACATCTTAATAATGACAGTTTGGTTTAGTTTGTAGCTCTACGGTCATTTTGTGCACACGAGGACTAAACAGGCCAGTACCTACAGTTTAACGTGGATTCCGAGCCGCCACTAACAAACATCCATGTCCCCGCCAGGAATTGAACCAGAAGTTTGTGATACCAAAGACCAGAGCGCTAGCCACTTGGCTGTTTTAAATAATGACAGATCATTTTAGTGTTTTTCGTAATGGAATAACTTCTTGGAATATTCGTAATACGTAATTTAGTGGTACGAGAATATGTATTTAAAAATGAAGCAGTACATTAATAAAGAATTAAATGTTTCCGAAAATTCAACAAACAAGTGAAAAAATAGCTGGCTTCTGTTAAATGTAATTAAAGAACACTTTTAAAAGAAAAATTACTTTATTTTTCCATAGAACCTACTACATATTTCTACTTTAATCCACAAAATGGTAACACTTGTATCGACAACAGATAAACTGCATCAAAAAATTCTAATGTAGTGGTTACATTACAATCAAATCCTTGAAGAGCAAATACACTGATTTCAAGCTACACTTCAAATTTAAATATACGCTGGATACAACAACTCTACGACTCTTCCAAAATAAATAAACCAATAAATAAATACATAATAAATAAAAATAAAAAAGGAAACGAGTGAATTTTGAATTCCCTAGACGATTAAACCTTTCCAAAATCATTCACTACAGAGAAAAAAAAAATTCAAATTTTTTCCAAACCATCGTCTCTTCCACTTTTCGCTTCATCACCACCACCAAAAGGTTGATAGAGCAAACTGAAAATGTGAAGGTTCGATACAGGAAAACTTGAAATGGGAAGGTTTGATAGAGGGAAACTGAGCGAGAATGGGAGTGGGAATTCTCACTCCTTGGAGGCAACAAACTTCTATCTTTCAACACTTTATAGGAGCCGATACACGCTTAAGCAGAAGGAAGATCTTGAACCTCACAGAATAAATGCATATGGAAGTCTGCCGCTTCTGAAAAGAATCTATCTATATTTATCAACAACTAGCCTCTTCTCCAGGGAGGTGGATTCCCACCGAAATGTTCCATGATGGATTTTCAATGCAATAGGGTGGAGGGGAGGGGTGCGACATCGCAAAAATAACCATTCATCTGGTCCTAAACCGAACGTCAATATAGGCCATTGATCACAGCAGGCCGCAAAGTGAAATCAAGAAATTTTTCAACAACGATTCCCGTTTTCAGTAGGGTTTGTAAATGCTGGGTTTTTTGGAAGCCACCGGAGTGTCTGTATAGTAAGGTCTGTATCTCTTTTTGGCACAAGTGGGTTACTTTTTGGTTGGATGCCTGGCCAGAAAAGGAGTAGTGGCCACTAAAGCGATGAAAAGTGTCGATAAAAGAAAAGGATGGGGAGTTTCTTTTTATGTGCAGCCAGCGTCCAGGAAGAATGATGGTTGGAGACAATGGAAGACCGATCGACGACATGATTGAGGAGAAGACCATAAAATAAAAATATCCAGTGAGAGACAGTCTATTTTTTTTATTGGACGATGCTGTACGGAAGAGAGGTGCTATTTCGGTTTTTAATAGTTACAGGATTCTTTCGGGTCTCTGAAGGGGTTTTAGATGGCTAAAGATTTCAAAATGATTAAGCCCCAAAGACTGCAAAAGCCATTAATTTTTTGAGAAATTGATTTTATTGTCTGATTGGTGTACTTTTCTTCATATTTACTCAAAAAGAACTGTCATTGAACATAAGTAAAATATATTTATTTTTGTTTTTATATGTCACATGTCATTTATTTTCATACACATGCACGTCTATTATGAGATCAAATTAAGCATAAGGTGTAACAAATTTAGTAATTTTGACATATTTGCAATCAATTTTGACACATTTCTTCTTATTTACGAAAAAAGAACTGTCATTGATCATAAGTAAAATATATTCATTTTGTTTTCATACGCATGTACGTCTGTCATGAGATCAAATTGAACATAAGGTGTCACAAATTTAGTTTAAATTACAACATATTTGCAATTAATTTTGACATATTTTTTTCATATTTGTTTAAAAAGAATTGTCATTGAACATAAATAAAATATATTTATTTTGTTTTCATACACATATGCTAAATTTGATCTTATTATAGACTTACAAGTTGTAAACCGGTTCTCGTTAGATCACCGAAGTCAAGCATCATTGGGCGCGGTCAGTACTTGAGTGGGTGACCACCTGGGAACACCGCGTGCCGTTGGCAAATTTGGGACCTGAATGGCCGAGTGTCTAGCGCTCTGGCGCTCGGTGCCACAGGTTTCGGGTTCGAATCCCGGCAGTGCCATGGATGTTTGTAGTGGTTCGGAATCCACTTTAAGCCGTAGGTCCCGGTCTCATATGACTGTAAGAGCGTCACGGAACAAAAGTCAGGCTTCTACCTATGGGTGCTCGATCACAACAGAAGCTGCTTCCTTCCCCTTCAATCATGAGCACGTATGGGCTCGTGGGCTTGGCCAGCCAAGTGGGATAAGAAACAACAACAACAGAACACACAAGTTGTAAAAAATTTGGTTTCCAATTTTGAAATTTTTTTTTTTTTTTTTTTTTTAATGTTCGTAATTCATCTTAGCTTGTTAACGAATATATTTAAACAAATTCAACCAATGATTTATATTAACAACATCAAGTCATTGTATACAAAAGGACATTAACATTGTTCAACTAAGAATAGAAAATAAAATAAAGACAGTAGAAAGTAATAAATGTTACCAGCTAGCAGAACTATTAGTAACTTGCATTATTAAATAAAAACTTAATCTAATAATATAGTGAATGTATGTGCAAAAAATTAAAAGGACCGATCCCCTTTTACTACGAGAATTGGAAAGGTGATTGTTGATGTTATAAATCCCCTTGCTACATATAAGAGATTAATCCTTCTTACGCTACGATTTTATTCGGCTTATCTGAATAATGTTAATTAAGTAGTACGGATTACATGCACTTCTTGGTCAAAGTAGCCCAATTAAGCAGTAACTCGCTAATCTTGACTAGATAACCTTAAGTTGATATCTTCTTCGTTTATACGATGACCATATAATAATAGTGGACAATAGATATTTGCAACTTTAACAAAGATTGGCTTACTTGCATATGTATGAATAAATGACTCACTGCAGTAAGCTGTAGTACATGCAACTTTATAAGCAAAAACTAAAATGCAAATCGATGGTATTTGGTGACAAAAATAAGGTGACATTCTGCAGAAGAAAATTAGGACAAAACTAATGACAGCAAACAAGAAAAGACGAATTAAAATGAATCGAACTTTTAACACCATCTGTCTTTAGTGTCTTCTAGTTGGATACAGCAAAACCATTTACTTACAGATTAAAAAAAGGGAATGAAAATGAAATTACAGAACTTGTAAATTTGTAGGGAAGGCTACAAACAAAATGTTGGATGTTGTCCAAATCTTAAAAAAAAAAAAGTACCAGCAACAACTGGTGCATAAGAAATTGTTATTCATTAGTTAAAAGGATGATACCGTTCAATGGTATGAGACATTAGCAATCTAGCACAATCTCTTTTCTTATTTTGTGTGCCCACGGCTTATCGTATCCCTGTGGTTCTTTGGACGCATTAGAGAAAACGAATCGCTCAATTTATCATAATAAAGAAAACTCACATTACGACTAATAAGGAATTAATATCTCCGGGAAAAAGGCATTCGTTTAAATTACGAATAAATAAGTAGAACGCAATAAAGGCGGTACAAATGTCCGAAGAAATACGTTCCCATAACAATCGATTAAATGGCTGAAATTATGATCAAGAATTTTTCACAAGAGAAGGCGTTTAAAATGTGTTCCATTAAACTGAAAAAAAAAAAAAAAAAAAATAATAATAATAACAATAATAAAGATTTGCCATAACTGAAGCCTTTTGTGTAGAAAAATGTGTTCATTATTTAAATTATCTAATATTTCTGCAACAAATTAAATTAACACGTGTTTTCAATTACATATTTAAATGCTTCTACCACAGTAACAGCTTTAAATTATTCTGTAGTTCTTGTAACATGACCATTTATTTTTTTAAAGAACCTAATAAAAGCTGTTATTCGTTGTTTTTTAATAAGCATCATAAAACGAGGTTTTTTTTAATAACAGGGAATTAATTTTATGTGAATGAATTCGATCTTTGAAAACGAACTTTTATTTGAAAACCGTAAAAAAAAAAAAAAAAAAAAAAAAAAACCCCACTAGGAATTTAAAATTCTTTATCTCAGTGTATGACACTTGCTGTGTGTCCGAAGAATTTCAAATGTAAATCAGTCATTCATTATAAATTTCAAATCTGCATATACAGAAGAATTGAAAAATTTAATTGGACTCGACTATCCCCATAGATAAATGACGTATTAATTGGAGTTTGTTATATTTATCATAAACTAATTAATAGTTGATTATATGCAAATTAATTATTTCGAATGGAAATAAATTATTGTAATGACGATAAATTTTTTTTAAATAAAATAAATTTCACAAGTGGATTGATGCAGTAATTAATTTAATTTAATTTAATTTTAATTAATTTATTTATTTATTTTGCTCTAACCAATTATTTTTTTTTAAAAACCTATAATAATTGAAATAGATATATGTCGCTAAACGCTATACAACTCCTGTGAAATTGGCAACATGGTGACATACAACAGAAGACATTGGTCAAAAGACAAATTCAAGCCGGTTATAACGAAACACTAATTAGAAAAAGCAAATTTAAAAGAAATTATATAAAACAAAAGACAATTGTTTAGTTTCAGTTTCGTTAAGGTTATGGTTAAAGTTAAAAAATTTTCTTCCGAATTCATTAATGCTTTGCAATTCTCTGTATCTGCTTTTCATTTCGTTAATTCACGAACTTGTAATAATGTGACAAGCCATAGAGGGGAAAAAAATAGGTTTCAGATATCATCTTTGCCATTTCTTAATTATAGTGGTTCAGCCTTAAATAAAAAATGATAAAACGACACGAAAATAAAAAAATACAGAAAAGAACGACGCTTCTAATAAAAATATATCTATGACATTATCACATGAAGGACATTATTTTAAGTGAACCAGATCCAGAGAGAATAACAAAATTAAAAACGAGGAACCGTCCGTCTCCACCCCTTGATGAAGTTTTAATCACATAAATGAAGTTAACTGTGAAAATAGAATTCACCCGCACGAAATAACCAGGCGGCAATAAATAAAGTTAATCAGTTAAATAGCCGTTTTGGTAAGACGTGCCGGTGCCTGTGGGATAGTCCTCGAAGGTATAATAATAACACTTTCCCTTTAGTAATGAAGCTAGTTCACGTCTTGGAATTGACAGCAAAGGTTGCTAGGATGATGCATAGCGGGTACCATCTCCACACGCCCAGAGCTATTTTTAGCATCTTTTACGGCTCGGCCTTTTGATGGCCATTCTCTGGGTCCCAAATGAATATTTCGGACCCGACCACGTCTGTGGTAAAAGTCGCACGGGGAGAGAATTGGGCCTCGAAGTTCCAGGCACTTGTTCCAGGCACGTTGAAAGCACGTGACGCATCCAACCGTGCGAACGACGCCTCGCAAGGATGGGTAAGAAATCACCCCCCATAAGAAGTCAGCTCTCTGGATTTCATAAATGTATTAAACAAGGATATCAAGGTAAAAGCGGAAAAGTTTAAAAGTTAATTATAAAAAGCGGTGTTTAAATTTTTAAGAGTCCATGTCGTAAATTTTCGGTTTTAAGTGAATAGTTTAAAGGGGATAACGTGTCTAGTGTCTGTTTACCTAACTAGAATTTAAAAGAAAAGATTAAAGATTCAGTTACAAAAACTCTTCATGCTAAAAAACACTGGAGCAGCTTGGTGGATAGTGTATTGGGTTTTAGTATAGAAAGATCTCGATTCGAAATCCGCCGAAGAATTTATAAGATAAGTCTCATGCTTTATGTATGGTCAGTCAGAAATATGTAATTTGTTGTATTTTTTATACAGTGTGTTATAAAATTCATGCAAGATTTAAATTCCTAAACAGTCTGGAATATTTTGTAATAAAAGAGCTAATTTCCCTTCAAAATGCACCTTAGGTTTGGTGTTCGATGGAGAGTGAGTATATCAAATTGTTTTCTAAGCAAATCCTCTTGTGTCCTTTATTAAAAGCATTACTTCTTCAGTTAATTTTAGGGAACTCTGTATGAAGAAGTTAGGAAAGATTAGTTCAATGCCGAATCCAAAGCTCTCATGTCTATGGTGGTGGTTGGCGTAATAAATCTATAAATTATCAAAATATTTTTTCATTGGGCTCGCCAAGTGTAAGATGTCACAGACCGCCTCTGATTTTGGTACATCAGTGGCCCATGTTTTCCACTTATGCATGCTACATACAGGCCACAACGAACTATGAGGAAAGGGCGTAGTATCAGGTGGATTTAGAGAACGCCAACATTGTGGTTTGGTTTGTCGCTCTACGGTTTTTTCACATTTTAAGCTAATTAGATCAAGACCTACAATTTGACATGGATTCCGAACCGCTAACAAACATGCATCTATGCTACCGCCAGGAACCTGAAGCACCAACTGCCAGAGTACTAGCCAATTGGCCATCAGACAGCCCACCATTGTGGAGGCACAATGCATAATCAATGCAGCAGGCATCTCAGGGTGTATGGTGGATAATGCTGAATCTGCTACTTAATATGATCAGTTCTAAAAGCGAATTTAACTCAGGTCAAAGTGAAACATTTTTCATTTAAAATAACAAACATACTTACAAAAGTTTAGAATAATAAATTAATCGCAGAAGATCTAATATGTCAGGATACAGTATATCAGGTACCGTATAAAAGAATGGAATACGTCATTGGACGATTGTTATAAATTTAATAATTAAAAAAAATAAACAGCACAGAATATTTTTTTTATAAAATGACCAACATGCTGAAAAAGGCACGGTTTTCAGTATCTCGCTTGAAATTGTTAGAGCTAATTTTTAAATTTTTGCTTTTACCAGTTTAGTTTTCAGACTGGACCATGTAAAAATAAACCAATTAAAATAACAAGATTAATAAAATAAAATTTACAATTAAGAAGTAAAAAAAATTTACACTGCTTTTTTAAGCACACGCACACAAAAACCCACGAAAGAAAATAAATAAGATCAATGAATAGGGAAATGTTTTAAAAATTTTCTGGCAAAAATATTTTAAGACTATCAAAAAAT